TTTTCAGTAACATCTGACCAGGTCGTTCAACATCATGAACTAAAATAAATAGTATTCTAAACAGGAAGTAGGTCTTAAAGCCCTCACTCACAGTAAATTACCAATTTACCAAGGAATTACCAAGTAATTTACCAAGTTCTTTACAAAGAACAATAGGTCAAAGTTTCTCCACTAATGCATAAAAAGTAAAGAATGGAAACCCTAAAATATGACAAACTATTGAAGTGCAGATGTTTATGGCCTAATCCTAAATCAGACTTACATCAAAGGGTTGTTTGTTTGCTTGTTTGTTCTTAACATTCTCAAAGTCAAGTATCAGCAGTAAAATCTCTCTCCAGGTTCTTTGCACTGCCATAAAGTCCATGTTGTCTAAACAAATGGATGTGATTGGTGCTTTAAAGAATTTGTACACAAGGCTCAAATGTCCACAATGGAGGGGAAATGCCATCAAGAGAAAAGGTATAAAAACTTTCTGTTGAGCTATGCATTTCAAATTAAACATGTAAAAGATAAAAATTTTAAAAAAGAACAGAATTGCCTAATTTCAGGGGAGAAGAGTAAGCAAGAGGTGGTGTGAATGCAATATAGTTTACAATTTAAATGATGTTAGTAAATAGAATATATATATATATATATATATATATATATCACGTTGTTACTGGACATACCAATTTTTTACATTATATACACATATAAACAAAGATTGGAAAGAATCTAGAATAATTTAAACTATAAAATTGTGTAATTACATAATAAAGAACACTTTATTTTTTAAAAATATGAGAAATCGTCCATTACAAACTGCATATACAAACTGCATAGTACACACAGGAAAGTAATTAAAAGGCCAGTGTGAGAGCATCGACCTGTGAACCAAATGGTTGTGGGTTCAATTCCCAGTCAGGGCACATACCTAGGTTGTGGGTTCAATCCCTGGTCTGGGCACATATGAAAGGCAACCAACCCACACTGATGTTTCTCTGTTTCTTTCTCTCTCTCTCTCTCCCCCTTTCCCTCTCTCTAAAATCATTATGCATATCCTTCTGATATTCTAAATAAGTTAGTTTTTCTTAGTTCCAAATATGCAGAAAATGAAATGATACCCAAAAATTCTATCAACTAAGTTCACTCATTCTGACATTCCTTTCATAATTGAAAGTTGCAATTGTTGTTCTCTGTATAAATTAAAATGTAGTTTATATCATTTATAACATTTGCTGCACATGAGAGAGTCCCAAATCTGGCTTTGTATCCAATTACCTAGGGAACTTTTTATTTATTTTTTAAATCTTTATTGCACCTGGGGAACATTTTTTAAAATATTTTATTGATTTTTTACAGAGAGGAGGGGAGAGGGATAGAGAGTTAGAAACATCAATGAGAGAGAAACATCGATCAGCTGCCTCCTGCACGCCCCCTACTGGGTATGTGCCCACAACCAAGGTACATGCCCTTGACCAGAATCGAACCTGGGACCCTTCAGTCGCAGGCCGATGCTCTATCCACTGAGCCAAACCAGTTAGGGCACCTGGAGAACATTTTAAAAATAAGTTCCTGGGCCCTGGCCATGTGGCTCAGTTGGTTGAGAATCATCCCATGCACTTGAGAGGTCAAAGATTCAATTCCCAGTCAGGGCACATGCCTGGGTTGTGCGCTCATCCCCAGTAAGGGTGTACAGGAGGCAGGTGATCCATGTTTCTCTCTCATCAATGTTTGTCTCTCTCTCCCTTCCTCTCTCTCTAAAAATCAATAAAAATATATTTTTTAAAAATAAGTTCCTAGGTCCCATCTACTGGAGATTTTGATTTGGAAAGTCTGGAGTGAGTGCCAGGAGTCAGTATCCTATATAATAAAAGGCTAATATGCAAACAGACTGAATGGCAAAACGACCGGTTGCTATGACACGCACTGACCACAAGGGGGCAGATGCTCAACGCAGGAGCTGCCCCCTGGTGGTCAGTACGCTCCCACAGGGGGAGCGCCGCTCAGCCAGAAGCCGGGATCACAGCTGGGGAACGCAGTGGCGGTGGTAGGAGCCTCTCCTGCCTCTGTGGCAGCTCTAAGGACCCCTCGGGGGATGTCTGCCTGCCAGCTTAGGGAGCAGGCCTAAGCCGGCAGGCAGACATCCCCCGAGGGGTCCCAGACTGTGAGTGGGCGCAGTCCGGGCTGAGGAACCCCCCTCCAAGTGCATGAATGTTGTGCACCGGGCCTCTAGCATATGATAAAATATAAAGCTCATGTTAAGTGTATTCAGGGATTTCCTCCTCTGATTCAGCTAGTTCTCGGAACTGGTCCCTTATTTTAGTGCTTTTCAAACTCTGCTGTTCATCATTTGCAGATGTTACTAAGCAGCAGATTCTGATTCATTGGTCTGGAATGAGGCCTGGGAACATGCAATTCCAACAAGCCTTGCTAGGAAGACCTTATAGGATCTTTCAATCTTTCCCCAGTCGAATGATAGGAGGCAGGTCCTACTGCTAGAATATTTTCTTCAACTTTTACCTAAACATCCTTTATCATAGTTAGAGTGCACAATTTGCAAAATAACTTGACCTATCTTTATTATATAGCCTACCAAGGGAATGGAAATTACTTCCCCCATTTACAGAGTATCACTGAAAGATGAGTGTTACCAATGTCATGATGCAGAGGTGAAATTAAAATGTACATAATATTCAATAGATATATAAGGATGACCACAACATAATTATAATGGTAAAACGTTGGAGAAAAATCTAAATGTCCAATAATAGAGGAGTAGTTAAATAACTTATAAGGGCATGTAGTAAAATAATGACGTAAATGTACAATTACTGGTAATTTAAAGATGTTAGTGATAAGTTTTTAAAAAGGTTTTGTAAAAACTGATAGTTTGATTCCATTTTTTGGGGAAAAAAATTTAAAAAATCATATATACATTTATGCAAAAGGGTCCAGAAAGATATACTAAATTGTTTAAAGCGTCCTCAAAGTACTAGAATTTAAGGTGTTTTTTGGGGGGCGGGAGGGGAATGCCCTGACCAGACTCTGGGTGCATGGGAGGATGCTCAACCAATTGAGCAACACCTGCAAGGGCCTCAGGTAGTTTTCATGTTTGTTTCCTTGCATTATCTAATATTTCTACTGTGACACAGACCTTATAAAATTCTTAAAGGATTAAAAAGGGGGTGAGAAGAAAATCAAGCAAACCCCATACCTGCATACACTTTTCAAGAACTACTATAATGGCTCTACTGCTAAGTTATTTGCATTCCAAAGAGTCATCAAGGGATTTCCCACATTCAAAACACTTTTTTGTTTGTTTTGTTTTTGTTAATCCTCACCCAGGATATTTTTTCCATTGCTTTTTTTACAGAGAGTGGAGGGAGGGAGGAAGAGAGGGAGGGAGGAAGGAAGGAAGGAAGGGGGGGGGGGAGAGGGAGGTAAAGGGAGGCAGAGGGGAGAGAGAGAGAAATAGAGAGAGAGAGAGAGAGAGAGAAATAGATATACATCTATGTGATAGACATATCTACTGTCCCAGCCACCTCAACCAGTCCTTTGCTTTTTTAAAGAGTGGAAGGGAGGGACGGAGAGACCTAAGTGGTACACATTTACTGTCACAGCTGCCCCAACCAGGGCCCCAGGGCTAGGGATTGAACCTGCAACCTAGAACCAAAACTGTTGTCTTGCACTCCACCCAGACTTGCTGAATTTGAATCTCTGACAATAAACTCCTGAATCTGCATATGAAGCAATCATTGACTTTTACAGAGAGCAAAGTTTGGAAACTTGGTGTTAAACAAAGAAGCTTCCTAGAAATGCAGGGAATTGCACTAAATTTCAAACCTATCTAAATGGCAACCTGTAGCATATTCAGAAAGGGTGAAATCAGACACACCCACAGGCACAGAGACTACTGGAATTTGAACAATAATCACCTGCCTAGAAGTACTGGCTTTATTCTATGTTAATTTTAAGCATCTCCTGTGAAAACTGACCATTTCTCTTGAGCTGACTGAGGTCACAAAGGTTTTTCCTTATATTTAACCTACATCTGTCTGAAACTATTATTATAGTAACTCCTTGTATGATACTTGACCCCCTATGTAGTCATTCATTAGTTAGAAGTTCACATAAACATTTATTATGGAACCAAGTATCCAGTTGATGCAACTACAGTCCTGTTGCTTTCATTTCTCCTTTCTAAGCACATTACATTTGACTAACCTCAGTAGATTCTGCTGATTATTTCTTCCAGAGATCCTCTTCAAGGTAAACACAAAGGCATGTGTGAGTTTATACTAATAGAAATCCTCAAGGAATCAAGAAAAGCATTTCCTGTTCTAAAAAACAGTACACGAACCCCCAAAAATTTGTTAAGAGAAAAGGGAGATATCACAGGATATATGACTAATATATCACGTCTTAAGCACTTATTATATCAAGTCTTAAGGCACAAATTTAGTGAAAGTTTTAAAAATGAGACGTTAAGAGTTTCAGAAATTTCCTAACGTTAATAAATTAAGAGCATTTTCCCAACGAAACCATAGAGCAGTGGTTCTCAACCTGGGGGTTGCGACCCCTTTGGGGGTCGAACGACCCTTTCACAGGGGTCACCTAAGACCATCGCAAAACACATATAGAATTACATATTGTTTTTGTGATTAATCACTATGCTTTAATTATGTTCAATGTGTAACAATGAAAATACATCCTGCATATCAGATATTTACATTATGATTCCTAACAGTAGCAAAATTACAGTTATGAAGTAGCAACGAAAATAATTTTATGGTTGGGGGTCACCACAACATGAGGAACTGTATTAAAAGGTCGCGGCATTAGGAAGGTTGAGAACCACTATCTTAAGAGGATCTAGGAAAGGGGCATAATTTCTGGGAGAGGGGGAGACAAGCGCTTAATTTTATTATAATCTAGGATGCATTTTAATCCTGGATCACTCAGAAGACCAAGTCAACTAAAACTGGAATTTATTAAAACCAGGAAGATTATATACCGACCTGCAACTCACACCAAGCAACCTCAACCCATGTTTCAGTGTCCAGCCCTTTATACACTGTTTTAAAGGCTCCTCTTCCCAGCTCTATGTCGAATTTCAGGAACCTGCCACTAGGAGAAGTAGCTACAGCCTTCATTTCCGCTTCTTCTTCCATTTCCTTTTCATTTTTCTCCTTGAGACAATCTTTGGAGGATTCGGAAGTTGCCTTTGAACATTGTGAGAATTTGACTTCTTTTTCACCTCTTAGCACATTTGCAGGAAGCTTTTCTCCGCCTGGAATCTCTGTTGTAGCCTTCGTTCTCTCATCTTTGGAGGAAGAATCGATAACTTTGTCATCAACACTCTTTCGGAAGAATCTCTTCCTTTCGACAGTTTCCCCCCCAGCAGAGATGGTACTGTCATTTTCCTTCAGTCTAGCTTCCACTGTCAAAGTGGCTGCCATCTGATGAACTCTGTTTTCCAGTGAAACTCCATCAGGTTTCTCAGAATCTTCTGTGCTAGCTGGCTCCCCTGAATCAGTAGCCATTGTAATTAAGGTTGGCACTAAAAATTTCCCTGTTCTACCCTTCAGTCCAGTTACATCTCAGGTATCAGAATTATCAGAATGGACTTCCTTTTTATGTGGTCATGTTTCCATAGTAACCTGAAAGGGAAAAAAGGATATTTTAAAATTACCTCACAAAGGAAATCATTAAGGAGAAAACAAGTCACCTGATTGTTTAATCCATTTTTTCTTAATAAGAAGTTTGTTCTTTTTTCTGTCCAAGCTTAGCAACCAGCAGACTCCAGGGACTATGTCTTATCTTGTTTACCACTGTAACCCTCAGTGCCTAGCAGGCTACTTGGCATATAGCTCAGTAAGTCTTCATATTGAATGAATGTTGGTTAGGAACCTAGTTTCTCAGTCCCATCTATCAATCCATCATATTTAAAACAAGTATCTAAACCTGAGTTCACTTAGCTACAAGGTAAAAGGTAACACACAATAATTAAAACAAGCACATTGTTTCTCAGTAATTGTTTTTTGTCTAAAATTCTGGAATCTGATGGTAGTCTTTTTTATTGTGGTAAAATATACTTAATATCAAATTTACTATTTTAACCATTTTTAAGCATACACTTCAGTGGCTTTAAGTATAGCCACAATGTTGTGCAATCACCACCATGATCTATTTCCAGAACTCTCCATCCTGGATCACTTCATCACCCCAAACTGAAATTCTGTCCATCTCCCCAGTCCCTAGTAATCCCTATCCTACTTTCTGTCTCTATGAATTTGTTTATTCTAGGTACCACATCTAAGTAGAATCATACAGTAGTTGCCCTTTTGTGTCTGGCTTATTTCACTCAACAAAATGTTTGCAAGGTTCAATGATGTTGTAACATGTTATCAGAATTGCATTCCTTTTTAAGGTTGAACAATATTACATTGTATGTATATACCACATTTTGTTTATCCATTCATCTGGTCAATGGATTGGGGTTGTTTCCACCTTTTGAATACTATGAATAATGCTGCTATGAACATCCAATTGTACTTTTGAGGTACACAAATACTTGTTTATGAGCTTGCCTCACATTTTAGCATAAACTAAAATATTAACATACAGTATGAAAATATTAAAACACTATACTAAATCTTTTAAGAAACACTTTAAAATATGTATCCTCTTAAACCAGCAATTCTACTTATAGGAACTTGCCTTAGAAAACAGTCAATTTGTGCAAAGGTTTAATTATAAAGACATTCATTACAGCACTTAAAATTTGGAAAAAACTGTAACTAAACATAAGCCTAATAGGAATTTAATTAAATATCTCAAAATGAGATGGATACAATATTTTTAAAAATCCACTAGCTTTTAATGAGATTAAAAGACATATATATATATTATATGGGTTAAATGAAATATACACAATAAGCCTTCATATATACACACATAGATACATATATGATATTAATTCTGAATGGTATAATTATGGACTTTCTGCTTTTCTGTATTTTTTACAGTTTTCCACTAAGAACATGTGGAAATATGTGGAACATATAAGGAAAAAGTTATTTTTTAAAATTTTATTTTAAAATTATAGTTTACATTCAATATTATTTTGCATTAGTTTCAGGTGTATAGCAAAATATTTCAGGGACCACTTTGTAAAGTATATGATCGTGTAAGGAAAAAGTTTTTCAAATGAATGGTTGTACTACCAATAAAAAAATTCTTCTCTTCTCACCACAAACATGCATCACAAAAAGTACTGTCTAAGTATTATGTTATGTACCTTAGAAGGCACTTTTTGTCACAATCAAAAAAATACGCAGAAATATCAAATTTGAAAACCTGAGAATAACAATCCTTAACTAAGACAAAATGGAGAGAAATACCCCAAATTGCTCTACATATTAAACATAAATCCTATCAACATCCACGTAGTTTATTTGCAGAAATTAACAAATTGATCCTAAAACTCATAAAACTTTGAGGGACCAGAATAGCCAAAGGCAAAACAATCTTGAAGAAAAAAAAAAAGTTGGAGGACTCATCCGAATTTTATTTTATATTTTTTAAAATATATTTTATTGATTTTTTTACAGAGAGGAAGGGAGAGAGAGAGTTAGAAACATCGATCAGCTGCCTCCTGCACATCTCCCACTGGGGAGGTGCCCGCAACCCAGGTACATGCCCCTGACCGGAATCGAACCTGGAGGCCGACGCTCTATCCACTGAGCCAAACCGGTTTCGGCATCCTTCCGAATTTTAAAACTTACCACAAAGCTATAGTATTAAGATAGCGTGGTACTGGCATAAGGATAGATGTAAAAATAAATGGAATGAAAACAGAGAACCCGGAAATAAACCCACATATTTATGGTCGATTTTCCATAAGGGTGCCAAGACATTTCAATGGGGAAGGAACCCTCGTTTCAATAAATGGTGTTGGGACAACTGGTTATCTATATGCAAAAAGAATGAAGTCAGACACTCTAAGGAAGGTTTACTGGAAGAGATGCTGGACCTGAGTCTCAAAGAAAGAAAATTACCTGATCCAAGCAGAAGGAAGATCACAAGCAAAGTCATGAGACAGCATGGATTAAGTGTATGAATGGTACCGTGAATAGTTTACTGCATACTTTAGAAGCAGGCAGATGAAGACAGAGAGCAGATATAAAATAAGACCAGTTAGAAACCTACTGCAATAATCCAGGAAAGAGATGCTGAGGTGTGAATGAAAATATTGGCAAGAGGGATAGATTCAAGATACATTAAACGAAGTTCCAAATTCAAGGTTTATTGCCTGAGTGAATATGGTTTTAAGGGGAAAGAATCTATGATAACTCCCAGAAATTTGCCTATCAGATGACACTACTAAGACACAGCCATGTCAATACCAGAGATAAGAATTACAGTCATGTACCACACAATGACATTTTGGTCAAAAACGGACCACATATACCATATAGCCTCGGTGTCTAGTAGGCTATACCATTTAGGCTTGTGTAAGTATACTCTATGATGTTCACATAGATGAAATTACCTAACAATGCATTTCTCAGAACCTATCCTTATTGTTAAATGGTGCATGACTGCAAACTAAGGACTCATGAACCGCTTTATGAGGTTACACTGCCAAATCAATTTCAAAAGTCAATGAATAAGACTAGTATTATCTGCAAGTAAGAAAAGGTAACTAATAACACCTCACTTAGGTGAAGATTTTTTTCTTTAACTTATTTTGACACAATTTGGACTTGGAAAAAAAGTATACAAAGAATCCAATATACCCTTCACTCAAATTCCCCAAATGTTAACATTTTAGGTGAGATATTCTTAAAAATATTATTCACTTCACTTAACTAAAGGTCAATTATCCAGAAGCCTCACGAACAGAGATCCATAAGCCAAAAGGACTTGTAAAAAGACAAAAATAGGTAAAATAAGAGAATTTAAGTAACTGCAGAAATTCTTTCTAAAAAGTGAAATCTTACTCAGAACCCTAACATAAAAATAGAGGGGCAAGTAGTCCTGCTCTAGTATAGCTCTAACATGTTTGGTCACCTGGTTTTCCAAACTATAGGATAAGAAGCAGAAAATCAGAGGATGGGGAAAGGAATGTTCCCTCAGCCTTTTAAAAAACAACTTTAAGACAAAAATATGTGAGATCAACTGAAGGACTTGTATACACGTATATAAGCCAAACCAATGGACATGGACAACAGGGGGATGGGAGCATGAGTGAGGGGGGGGGGGGGAGGTTGGGGGTTAATGGGGGGGATGAGGACACATTTGTAATACCTTAACTAATAATTAAAAAAAGACAAAAAAATGTTATAGAGACAAAGAGGGATATTTTATAAGTATGAAAAGATTAATTCATTAGAACAATAAAATTATATACACCTAACAACAGAGCCCCAAAATACATTAACACGTTAAGCGCCCAGCCTGTTTTGTCTTCCAGATGGAAAGTATAGTGTCAGTCACCGGTGACTGACTAGGCGCTTAACGTGTTAAGTTAAAACTGACAAGAGCCTGGCTGGTGTGGCTTAGTTGGTTGAGCTTTGTCCCATGCACCAGGAGGTTGCTGGGTTCAATTCCCAGTCAGGGGACATGCCTGGGTTGCAGGCTCAATCCCCAGTAGGGGGCATGCAGAAGGCATCCAATCAATGATTCTCTTTCATCTTTGATGTTTCTCTCTCTCTCTCCCTCTTTCTTGTTCTCTCTGAAATCAATAAAGACATATTAAAAAAATAAAAGTTGCCACCAAGAAAGCGATACACAAAAAGCCTTGGAGAAAAGATGTGCAAATCATTTATCTGATAAGAGACTAGTATTCAGAACATACAAAATATTCAGAACATACAAAAAATTCTTACAAGTCAATAATGAAAAGATAAATAATCCAATGGGCTGAGGATCTGAATAGACATTCTCTAAAGAAGATATACGAATGGCCAATCAACATGAAAAAAATGTTCCACATCATTACTCATTAGGTAAATGCAAATCAAAAACTAAAATGAAATACTACTTCATACCCATGAGGATGGCTACAATCAAAAAAATGAACAGCAACACGTTGTTGGTAAAGATGTAGAGAAAATGGACCCCTCATGCATTGCTGGTGGGAATGTAAAACGTTGCAGCTGCTCTGGAACATAATCTGGCAGTTATTCAACAAGTCAACATAGAACTACTATATGATACCATCTACCCAAGTGAAATGAAAACACATGTCCACACAAAAACTTGTACACAAGTGTTCACAGCAGCTCTATTCACAATAGCCAAAAAGTGGAAATGATCCAAATGTCTATCAATTGATGGCTAAACGAAATGTGCTATATCCATGCAATAGAACAGTAATCACACAATAAAAGGAAATGAGATATCAATACCTGCTACAAGGATGAACCTTGAAAACGTTATGCTAAGACAAAGAAGCCAGAGGAAAAGACCATACACTGTATAGTTCCATTTATATGAAATGTTTAGAATATGCCAATCTACAGAGACAGAAAATAGATTAGTTGTTGCCTGTGGGCTGGGGCACAGGAATAGCACTGACAGCAAACCAGCACAGGGGATCTTCTGGGGTGATGGAAATGTTCTAAAATTAGATTGTAATCAAGAATATACAACG